TTTTTTTTTTTCTTTTTGCAGGTACAGCACAAACATTAATAAAACAAATAATAAACACATGATGCTTTAAGGTCCAGCGCCATCCATAATGTGAATATATAATGTTCAATGTTAATTACTATGTGCACCTCTGCAGTTCGTTTGTTGTGTGGCTCAGAGGGCTTTTGATGGTACTTTACCCATTAGGTGTTTTTTGGTATTCTGCTCTGGCCTAAATACAATAATGAAACACTTTGGAGCAAAAATACAGAGAACCAGACCAAAGCTTGATGCTAAGATAGCAAAAATCTCCACAGCTACAGTCAATTTTCCTGGAGAGCTGACATAAGCTTGTAACAGTAAAATATCAGATTGTATGATATCTGAATTTTATAGATTTCTAATGAGAGCTGTGTGTCTCAGAGGGCTTTTGATGGCACTTTACCCATTAAGTGTTTTTTGGTATTCTGCTCTGGCCTGAAGACAATAATGAAACACTTAGGAGCAAAAATACAGAGAATCAGACCAAAGCTTGAAGCTAAAATAGCAAATATCTCCACAGCTACAGTAAATTTTCCTGGAGAGCTAACATAAGCGGGAATAAAGGTGATCCATACAGCACAGAATATGAGCATACTGAATGTGATGAATTTAGCCTCATTGAAGTTATCAGGCAGCTTTCGGGCAAGAAAAGCTAAAACAAAACAAAGGAAAGCTAGCAGTCCAATATAACCCAGCACAGCCCAGAAACCTATAGCTGATCCTAAATTGCATTCTAGAATAATCTTTTCTTTGTAGTGTTGCATATTGTTGTAAGGAAAAGGAGGGGATATTGTTAACCAAAGCACACATATAAGGACCTGTACAAGAGTGAAGCCCAAAACACTGAGTCTCTGTTGAGGAGGCCCAAACCATTTCATGACATTACTTCCTGGAAGTGTAGCCTTGAAGGCCATTAACACCACTATTGTTTTCCCTAGAACACAGGAGATACAGAGGACAAAAATTATCCCAAATGCTGTGTGACGCAACATACAGGACCACTCAGTGGGCCGACCAATAAAAGTAAGTGAACAGAGGAAACACAGAGTTAACGAGAGTAGAAGCAGGAAGCTTAGTTCTGAGTTGTTGGCTTTTACTATCGGAGAGGTCCTGTTTTTGTAGAACACTAAAATTATGCTCAAAGCCACTAAAGAACCAGCAATAGAGAAAGCAGCCAGTATAATCCCAAGGATCTCATCCCAGGAGAGAAACTCCACTGGTTTAGGAAGACACTTGTCCTTCTCATTATTGGGCCAATACTCAGGTAGGCATTTGTGACAATCTAAAGAATCTAGAAGATGAAAACAATCAGTGCTTAACAGCCATTCATGAGCCACAGGAACAAAATGGAGACATGCATCTGATCAAACTACTGTTTTAAGAACGAGAAAAAGAAAGGTGTATGATATGGTGCGGTGGCTGTTTATTTTTAGTAAGGCATCAAAAATACATTAATATGCTGTTTGGTGATAAGTCTACATACACATCTCAGAAACTGCAAAATGTTAATGGTTAAAAAAAATAAAAACTGGTGTTATTTATTTATTTGTTTGTTTGTTTAATTTAGTACTGCCCTGAAAAGCTACATTATTTAATATAGCAGATGTTTATATAAAGTGCACAAAACAAAAGAAAAAATAAACAAACCGGTTCAAAATTTTACATAGCCTTGAGTCTTAAAACTGTGTATTACTACCTAGATGATCAATGACTGTTTTTGTGTTTTGTGATAGCTGTTCCTGAGCCTCTTGTTTGTCCTGAGCAGTTAAACTGGCCACTGTTCTTCAGAAATAATACTCCAGGTCCTACACATTCTTTGGTTTTTGATTGTGAAATCCATCTTTCCACACGCAAGACAATTGAGGGACTCATACACAAATATTACAAAAGGTGCAAACGTACACAAATCCTCAAGAAGCAAATACACTACACTTTTGAAAAGGATGACCAGTGTAAATGCAAAGTAAAGATTTCTAAGATTTTTGCACGTTTTAAAATAGATTAGATATTAAATATTTTCCTTTTTTCTGTATCATGAAGTTTCCTATGTGATTGGCCCAGACATATGTGTGATTTATCCAGCAGCATAAACCCAATCAAAGTACCTGTCTCATTGCTGATTTCTCCTTCTGCACAGTTAATGCAGTCATAACAGCAGACAGGTCTTCCTTTTTTCACAGCCTTCCTCATACCTGGAAGACAGCTCTCGCTGCACACAGACACAGGCACCTGCAGGTAACAGGTACACACAGGATCAGAATCAGAAATTAACCTGGTATTTGGTATTTGTTGTTATGCTATGTTAAAACATTACAAGAAATACATGCATACATAACCAACCAACTCAAGACTGTCTAGTTATTTATGTTCAGTACTTGCACAGTGATTTATTCCAATTAACTGTTTCAATGATAGACATTGTATTTTTATATGGTTAAGAGGACATAAAAAATTAAAAATGTCCCTTAAAAAACATTTTCAGGGGAACTATAATACACTCGCCAGAACACACTTTACCTTTTCACTGCCATTATACCAAATGATAGCTCTGCTCAGACTAAATTCTTGGCCTTTAGGCTTGGATGCATCATATTGACCCACTGTCACAAAATCAACTGAACTGTCTCCTTGAAGTTGCCAGTTCACAAGTTCATATGTGGCCACAGGGTCTCCATTGGTGTCAAATGAAACGGAATAATTATTTTTAGTAAAGTTCACCCGTTTGAGTTGATCAAAAACCTGCATGATGAACATTAAAAATTCAAACTGCTGTGATTACAATTTGCTGAATAATTAGAACCCAAATAGTGGGTGTGACTGTATACTTATTTTATAGTAGGACAACGCATAAGTTATATTCCATTACATTGATGCATTTTAAAATCTCTATTGTTTCACATTTACAATTTATTCCACGATGAGAAAACGTACCTTATGGGGATCAACTATGATGCTTTTGTGACATGTATTTTCCTTACAGACAATGCTATGGAGGGCATGAGCTATAGCATATGTGGCTTTGTACACCATATTTGTGACGCGCAACTGGGACGTGTCTGTGTACGGGTTCTGTAAAGCGCGCAGGTCCTCTGTGCCATCACATGCTGGCATACCAGCAGAAGAACCTGTCTGCCTTTTTAGACTACAGCTGAATGAGCTTTCCCAGAATTCTGTCAGCAGGGGAAATTTTAGCGCTTGTTCTGGAGACAGGTCAAGTAAAAATTCACGAAGACCCGGGATAACAGATCGCGGGATTGCAAAACCCACTACACCGATACACAAATTATACCGAAGCATTTCTGGGTCTGTAACCCACGACTCACTGCCAATCCACTGCATCGGGGGAGGCGGCTGCTGGCTCAGCTCTTCTAAAAGAAGTCTCATATCACCCGACGCCAGGAAGGCAACAATTACACGAGCCGTTGATCTGCGAATGACTTCAGCCACTCTTTGAATCACTGCGCACTGCTCCGATCCACGTCCATCCGAAGTGCTTGACCATCCGTGCCAGTGCTGCCGCTTGATGGTGATCACTGGGGATGGTCCTGAAAAAAGTAGGATACTGCCGCTTGTCACTGAGACACGCGCACGTTGCGTAATGACTCACCTGTAGTGCACAATGGGGGAAAATTTATTTATTTCCGAACATATAACGACTTTAAAATTTTCAAAAGTCAGACTAGGCTACTCCAATAATACGCATTACAACTGTTTACAGATGTTTGCTTTGACAGCGGGTTTCAAAGGTTTTCCAGCTGTTATGGCAAATTTACAACGATTTTTACAATTAGTACTAGGCATTTCTGACACAGCGCCAACATTTTTATTATTTATTTATTAGTTCTGTAAATATCTTAGAAGACTAAAATACATTTATTCTGAGCAAACACCTGTGGAATTCCAAAGGGACCGAAAAATCTTGAAGTGCTTATAGACGGTGTGGAACCAGATTCTCCGACAAGTGCGGGAACTGCAGCCGATTTTGCACAGGAATCAGTGTCGTTAAAAATTAGATCTAGTCCGTTGGCAAGCTGTAATGCTACTTTGACTGCCATTGGCACAGAGCCACAAGAGTCATATATATGGTACCCTAATGTTATGCCTGGTAAAAGATCAGAGCTGTTGTTTATCTCTTGGATGGCGAACTGCAAGGCACGAGCAAAGCGCAGCTCCCTGAAGTCCATGCTGTTGAAGC